TTTTTTTTAATTTATAAAAAATTTTAAATAATTACGTAAAATATGGCGGAGGCGCCTGACATCTAATTACGTAATTCTAATTATTTTTAAGTACTAATACTAGTATTGTGTAGAGGAGCTTATAATTACCTTATAAACATATCTTTTCATTCATTAATACTTGCCTTACTCTGTAGACGCATTTATATAGAACGTGTATTTCCATCGCCACTTAATTACCGATTATCTAAGAAACTAATAGAGATAATCAAAAACGGAAAACGGCATAACGTCCAGGGAACAATTCTACATATAATAAGATTTTAAAATTTTTACTTTTGAGAGAGGGAAATGCAATTTTCCGACGCGATTTTCTCGGAAAGTATGAAAGATGCAAAAAAACTTTTTGCACTTTTTTCATGTCATGATAAGGATCTATTAAATGGCAGATTTAGTTTTTTGATTCTGAGAAGTTGATCAAAACGCCTCGAAAAATATCAAGAGGTTACACTTACCGATTCTTTGGGTCAAAAATTAAATTATCAGCTAGAAGAAAATGGAAAACGCCATTCGATAGAGCCTTGTAATGTGATGAAAGATATCCAGTCAGTTTTCCGATAACACCAATATTTCCCAAATTACCTGTGAAAATTGAAACAGGCCAAAAAGAACCACAACTCAGATTTTCTTCAAATTTTCCTATATGATGTAGAATGATGCCCAGAATCCATTTATCAAAGTTTTGTTCTGATATCTTAATTAGTTCTTGAGTTATTGACCATTTTCAATTATTACATAAGTGTCGAAAATTTAATATTTTTAAGTGCTAGATGATGTATAATTTTGTCCTCAATCCGAATCTGAAAACAGTTTTTCTTTATCTTTATTAGTTTGCGAGAAAAGCGCGATAAACTGAATTTTCAGTTTTCTCCATTATTTCTTATGAGAAAAATAAAAATTGAAAAATTAAAGTTTTTATTGCTGAATATTATAGAGAACAATTATACAAACAAAATATTTCAGTAATATTTTTTAATTAGGCTTTTAGTTTAGAAGATATGCGCGTAAAACAATTAAATTTGGTTCAAATCAACCGGCGTCAATAGGGCCTTAACTAAGGGCTGTAGAAGAAAAATTTACTAAAATAAATGATTTATAATCTTTTGTTTTGTCATAATCCGAAAAAAAAAAATTCAAAATTCAAACTTTTAAATTTATGTCATAAAAAACATAAACCGTGAAAAGATTTCGTCATAAAAAAGGCAAAACTTTTTCATTTTTTTGTGCAGAATTAAAAATAGGAATTTTTAAAATCTGTTTTCGGATCCTGATAGCTCGTTGAATTCTAATTCATTTATTTCCGAACAATTTTCCTCTAGCACTGATAGTTTAGGCCCTATTGGCAATTTTAACAAAAAATTTGACTTCGCACCAAAAATAATTTTAAGCGAAAATACGTCCCTGTCTTTCGACCGAAAAATTTTTTAACCAAAAAGTTCGACCCTGTTCTTCGACCGAAAATATTTTTTTCAGATTCTCTTTAAATTAAAATTACGTATAAAATTAAGACATTTTTGTTTATTAATGAGTATTAATTAAGAAAACATGTCAAACCCAGTGTTTTTGGCCAAAATATTAACAATTTTATTACAAAAAGGGCATTTTATGGCACTTTTAAAGGGTTTAGAAGGTTTTAAAGAAATGCATTGTATAGAGAGTCTTTTTATCTATAATCAGACGTTGAGAAACTTTAAATCCGTTGATTATTACAGGAGATACAGGGGGTTTTGTGTCTAAAAAATTTAAAATTTTGCATCATAATTATTTTTGGCTGGCATTTTCGGGCACTTTCCAAGGGCTTACGAGAAATAAAAGGTATGCATGTTGTAGAGGGACTCTTTATCTATCATATAACAATTAAAAACCCTAAATTGCATTTGATTTACAGAAAATACGGAGTGTTTTCCAAACATATGTTTTGAGGCATGCAACAAATTCCAATGTTTTCTTACCTTTAAGGGCACTATCTCCGGGTTTCTGAAATTTATAGGTTATGTATGCTATACAAGAGTTAATCAAGAATTATATAACGTAGATAAACTTAAAATTGCTTTATTTTTACATAACATACAGGGCATTTTAACAAGCTTAAAATCTAGGAAGTGCATCTATGAACTTGTTTCATTAAAAATTCTACTGGGTGTTGCCGATGCAGTCCCAGCAAACTGAATAATAACTATTATATACGTCGCAATTAAATTTACAAACATAAACAACATTGCATGGTCCACATTAAACAATCCAGCCGCTGAAATATTCGAATGTGTGGCGGTTGTCTGCTGAGCCAAAGCAAACATGGCGTCATGCAGAACCGGAACTGATGCAAAACGATTCACCATTTTATATGCAAGAGCAACAGTCTTCCGGCCTTCATTTTGAACTTGTTCACACTTTGATGCAATGGCAACACCATGCGCTATTGTAAATGTTATCCAAAAGGCAGTAATCAATATGTCTGTTAAACCACTTCAGCATGTCAGAGGTTACACTTGATGATTTTGTGGCCTATAAATTCAACTTTAAGCTACGAGAAAATGGAAAACGCCATTCGATAAAGAATTGCAATGTGATGAAAGATATCCAGTCAGTTTTCCGATATCATCAATATTTCCCAAATTACCTGTGAAAATTGAAACAAGCCAAAAAGAACCACTACTCAGATTTTCTTCAAATTTTCCAATATGATGTGGAATTATGTTCAGAATCCATTTATCAAAGTTTTGTTTCGATATCTTAATTAGTTTTTGAGTTATTGACCATTTTCAATTATTACATAAATGTGAAAAAATTAAAATTTTTAAGTGCTACATAATGTATAATTATGTCCTGTATCCAAATCTGAAAACCGTTTTTCTTTATCTTTATTAGTTTGCGAGAAAAGCGCGATAAACTGGATTTTCAGTTTTCTCCATCATTTCTTATGAGAAAAATAAAAATTAAAAATGTATTGTTTTTATTGCTGATTATTATAGAAAGCCACCTTCTAAACAAAATATTTTAGTAACTTTTTTGTTTAGGCTTCTAGTTTAGAAGATATTGACGTAAAACTGTTAAATTTAGTTCGAATTAAATTTTACCACTTTCGGCGTCAATAGGGCCTTAACTAATGGTCGTAGAAGAAAAGATTACTAAAATAAATGATTTAAAATGTTGCTTTTTATCATAATCCGAAAAAAAATCTTCAAAATTCCAATTTTTAATTTTTGAGATATAAAAAACATAAAACCGTGAAAAGATTTCGTCATAAAAAAGTCAAAACATTTTCGTTTTTTTATGCGAAATTAAAAATGCGAATTTTCAAATTCTGATTTCGGATTCTGATAGCTTATGTAATTCTTATTAAATTATTTAAGAACAATTTCATGCTAGCACTGATCGTTTAGGCCCTATTGGCATTTTTGAGAAAAAATTTGACTTCGCACGTAAACGAATTTCATTTTGGTGATTATTATCTAAACGGCACATCTTAGAGCAAAATTTTATTAAAATAAAGCGTTTCTAATCTCATTTTCTATAATACTCAATGATTAAAAATTTAAAAATGGTTAAATTTGTTATAATTACATTTTTCCAATACCGGAGCCAATAGGGCCTTAAATAATGGTTATAGAGAAAAAGTTTATTAAAATAAACGATTTGTAATATTCTGTTTTATCATAATCCGAAGAAAAAATTTCAAAATTCCAACTTTTAAATTTATGCTATAAAAAACAAACCGTGAAAAGATTTCGTCATAAAAAAGGCAAAACTTTTTCATTTTTTTATTCATTATTAAAAATGCGAATTTTTAAATTCTGATTTCGGATTCGGATAGCTTATTGCATTCTTATTAATTTATTTCAGGACAATTATCCTCTAGCAGTGACCGTTTAGGCCCTATTGGCAATTTAAACAAAAATTTTGACTTCGCACGAAAACGATTTTTAATATGGTGATTATTATCTAAACGATGCATCATAGAACAAAAATTTACTAAGATAAAGTGTTTAAAATCACGTTTTCTTTAACATTCCGCAATAAAAAAATTTTACTTTTTTTTGAAGTCGAAAACACTTGAAAAAGATTTCGTCATAAAAAAGGCAAAACTTTTTCATTTTTTTTATGCAGAATTAAAAATGCGAATATTCAAATTCTGATTTCGGATTCTGATAGCTTGTTTAATTTTTATTAAATTATTTAAGTACAATTTTATTGTAGCACTCATCGTTGACAATTTTCAAAAAAAAATTGACTTCGCACAGAAACACAATTGTTTACGTATTTTTTATACATCAAAAAGTAAATCACTAAATTCAAATTTTAGGGCATAAGTAATAACTCCTGAAAAGATAGAAATAAAATCAATAACAGCAACAAAATAAATTTAAACATTTATTTATTAACAAATTTTCAATTTTACAATAATACAGAAAGTAAAAATCATAATACAATAAAACTTATAACCGTAGATTAAAAAATCTACTCCTTTTTTACATAACAACGTAAAATATCAGAAATTGAAGCTATAAATTGCGTGATACAGGGTGTTCTTTTCATTGTGCGCACATAACGCGACTGCGAATTGTAATAAAATCACGTTTCTTTCAGCGGCGCACAAAGAGCGAAAACGTTTACCGCTCCCGTTCCCCATCTTTTTGCTTATGCTTGCGTGAAGCGTGCTGCTTTTCTTCTTCTTCCATTCGGTGCATTAAACTCGACAATTCAAACATCGAAATCTGCGTGCGCGACGCGCCTCGGAACAGTCGTCGAACGAAGAGAAAACCTTCTTAAAACTTCTGCCTCGTCCTTCAAAACTCGAAAACTCGCTCTACGTCAGACGATTCGCACCATTCCACACATACAGTGTGTCCACAACCCCAACATAGGCATAATAACACCTAAAACATAAAAATCATAAATATTTCATCAAAATTTTAATTTTTAAATTTTTTAAATAAAATAAATAAATTTAGAATATTACATACTTTGAACACATGGTATACACCGTGTAGAATCCTCAAGTGGGGTACATTCGAGCGGCGCGCAGTCGTCGCTTCCGGTTGCCATTCTGCTCGGTCGCGTTTTCCACCTTGGAATGGTAGGCGGCCCCGGGGGCGGCTTCGACGGCGTCGTCATCACAGTCGTCGTCGACGATGACGACGAGGTAATTAACTCCCTGCGAACGCGCACGAATTTCCATTGTTCCATTGTGCACAAATTGCAGAAACTAGAATGTGAAATTTGAAGCGTCAGAAAAATCCAGCAGGGTTAAAACAAGGTTAGGTGCGATTAGGTTATGTAGAACTTGTGGTTTCTATGAATATTTTGTGAGACATTAAAACATAGACAGTAGCCATTTTTGTCAGTAAAATTTTATAGGCGCAATGACCATAAAGCGATAAAAACCGATCGCAAAAATCGTAATGTGCATGCCAGAGAAGAGAAGGAGTCTTATCCAGCTAAGCAACTGCGCAGAGTTTGGTACGCGACACTTTTACGACGTCACTATCATATTAAATGATGAATAAATGTCATCGAAGATGAAGATGGAGATGGAAATGATTCACGCGCGTAGAAAAAAACTGAAAAAAACTATCAGTGCTAAGGTTAGAGGGATATCTATGTTGCAATTTGGTTAAATCAACATAAAATATTTTATGACCCAGTATAATATGGAATAAACTATTATTTATGATTATTACTGCGTCAAAAGTAAAGAAAAGTGATAAAAATAAATAATATTTATCATAATCTTAATTTTTTTGCAAAAATTTTAGTTTTTTTGGAATTTTTTTTTTTTGCAAAAATCGAAGTTCAGTCTAATTTTTATAATTATTTAATATTTATGTTAAAAAGATAATAAAAATACGTGTAATATGTCATAATAATTTTTTTCTAAAAAATTCAATTTTTGCAAAAAAGTTTTTTCCTTTATAAAAGTTTAATTTCTGTAATAAACTATTATTTATGATAACAGCACTAATAAAAAATAAATATAATTTATCATAATCATAAATTTTCGACTTTTTGATTGCTCAATTTATTATTAATTTAGTTTTTAATAATTTATAGCATTGTGTGCTTTATTGCAATTGATTTATATGCGCCAGTGGCGTGCGAATGATTAATTACCCTCTCTTATCGGCCGCGCGCATAAATATATTTTATTTACAAAAAATAAATACATGCACGAAATCGTGTCTTTGAAAATTAATTTCACAAACAGTTTTTTTGTCTCGTCCGCAAAAAGCGCGACTTTTTTATTTCGCAGAGAGAAAATTTTAATTTTATGCTCAAAGACTTAGAATCACAAAAAGCAGGGCAATAAATAACTGCGTTGAGGCGCTGAGACAAAAGCGCGTGATAAGGGATGAAAAAATAAAAAAAATAAAAGGAACGCGGACGAGAAAATTCATTTCGCAGTCAATTCATTAAGCAATACAAAGCGCTGGCGAAAAGAAAGTCGGAAGACGTCAGAAAATGTTCGATGGTTTTTGATCGTTTGATATCGACGCCGTTTTCAAACCTCCCTCATCCTCCCGAGGGGAAAAGTTCTAAGACTTTACTGCCCTGCAGGCCTTGAGACCGATTTCGGCGATAAAACGAAACGGCTAATAAATATCATTTAATGAATTGTAAAACGAAAACAAATTGCTGGCGCAAAAAAACTTCCTGCTTGACTTTCAACTTAAATTACGCCGAATCTATTTTTATTACTTTGTATGTTTTAATTGCTATTAATAGAGAATTTAATTATCTTTCAGTAATTGCAAACGTTTTAATTATATCTCTCGAAATGGATTTTTAATTAATTAAAAACAAAAGAAAAACAAAAATTGCGAATTCTTGAGAACATAAATTAAATCTCAAATAACTCTAAGAAAATTTAATAAAATCATAAAATTTTTAATCAAATCTTATAGGGAATTAAATTATCTTTTATATGAGGGGCGGTTCATCTTTCTACTGCTAAAATTGACAAAGTTATTGACAAAAATAGTAAAAAAATATTTTTTGTTGCAGGTAATGTAATGTTTTCTGCCATCGATATCACAGCTGGAGACCGGAGGCGGCGACTCACGCGCACATGATGGAAAACAAACGGCGGAAAAATCAGATACATCAAAGTCTTATGCGGGCCGAACGCCGCACGTGTGTGCGTTTGATCGCATTAATAAACATTCGGCGTCTCGATGAAAAACGTACGTGCCGCCTCTTGCCGCCTCCCGGGAGGCAGCTGGAACACACGAGACGCGCCAACTCCCGCATGCATATGAGTCGGCCGACCGACCAACCGGAAAAACACTCGACAAGCAAACACAACGGGAAGTGAGATTTGAGCTTGTTTTTCTGCCGCCTCCAATATCAAAACACAAAAAACTAAATAAAAATTTATTGAAATGTAAATCGCGAAATATGCAGTGCATTTAAAATTTTTTTTTTAAAAGGAGACTTTTCTTGTTTTTGTTTTTCATTGAACACCCTGTATATTATTATTAAATTATTTAAACAAAAAAAATAATAATCCTGGTGTGGTTCACATTAGACCAAGCGAGAGATTGTCGTAATCCGCGCGGCGAGTACATAAACATTTCTACTTAAGGGTGGTTAAGCGTTGGGGGCGGCGGTGGCGGCGGCAGTTTTTCTGTTTGTTTTAATTCTGAACGCGTTCGCGAGCGAGTGCTGGTTTTTTCGCCGCCGCGACAAGAGTGCTGACCGTGCCCTGGCATACATTAACCCCGCCGCCCCCAAACCACTCTCTCAACTGACGCACGCACGTTCCACCACCGCTGCCGACAAGATAAAACACGCCGATGTATTTTGTTTACTCTAACTATGAGTTTTTCCCACACCGCCGCCGCCCACACAACAAAGGTATGAGTAGTTTATGCCGCCCCCCTAAATGACCGTAGGGACGCTAATTTGCTGCGTGCCCGCGGTATGTAATTAGTTTGCGTAGCTAACCGCGCGCTGGCCGCGCTGATCGAAGACGCGACCGTAGGCGGTTGCCGGTCGGAGGCGGCAAGTGACGCGACGCCGACGGGGCCAGGGATGAGTCAGGGCACCGATGATGCCGCTGGCAGGCTCGCCTCGAAGCTGGAATGCCGATATTAAAATTCCTCCGATCGGCCCCTTTCAGTCCTGCCGCCGGCGGTTGTGCGGGTGGTTGGGGGCGGCGGCGGCGAGGATCGCATTGCAGCGCGCGCGCTCACGGATATCGAAAAGTAGAGCGGAGTGATATTGGCGTCAACGGCTGGCACCTCTCGCTAGATTTCTCACCCCACGACTGTTGCCGCCGTCGCCGCCGCCAGGCCGCCAAGCGTCGAAGGTCTAAATGATTTTTAGTTTAGCGGCGCGGCGATATTGGAATTAATATTAGCACGTGCCAGGCGACCTCCTTCATTCGCAGGCATTTCCACCCCTCACCTTCACTTCCTGCCGCCTCCGGTGGCGTTGAAACGTATGTCTAGGATTAGTATGCGATGTTCAACTTTTACTTCAGACGTTTAACCTCTACGAAATGGACATTGACAGCATCAATGCACTATTTTTATACCGAGTGTTTCAAAAAGTTTAAAATTTTTATATAAAAAATCTTTAAACACACTGTATAATGAGTCTATCGTGATGTGTGAATAGTAGCCGCGTAACACGCAGATGGTTTAGATATTTACCTCTCAATCAACGTCGATTGCAGACATTTTCGGGGATGACGTCGCGGGGTAGTTCTGCCTCCCTTGCCGCTCCCGTTTCCGGAATGGTGCAAAACGCCGAAACCAGTGTAAATCTTCCCGTCAAACGCAAAACCCTTCTTCGACTATTAGACTCGCAACTGCTTCCCAGACTGTGTGTGCGTTGGTTTCAGCCGCCCCCCACTACCGCCCCCACTTGCCTGTGGAGTAACGAAAATTTAATAAAACAAGAAATGCGGGAAATCCCCGGTTATGACGTACACATGTCGCATGAAATCGTGTAACATATTTGCCGCTCCCCATCTTAACACACACCGAGTCAAACTGATTTCGCATAACAAATAATCCCAATTAGTTATAAGTGCGTTTAGGGTTTATGCGGGTTCAAGAGTTGTAGAAGGGGGGGGCGGCAAAGCTGTGGAAAGCGTTTTGTTAGAAATTATTAATCGTTGCGACTAAATTTACCTCATCTCTTGGAAGAAAACGGGTCTCCGGAGGGGTGGCATAGTTCCCCGAATAATTAGTTACGCATATTTTGTACTTTGGCGGTGGGGGGCGGCGGCAGTCACGCACTCGGTTTTGCAACTATGTGCCGCGCATAGTTACACCATTTCGTCCTGCTGACATTCCCGGCTCACATTCCAGGCGAGATTCCATTTTGAAATTATCTATAACTAAAAATAAAATATATTTTTTTTGCTGGGGGTGGTTTTTAAGGGTAGTTTTTTGCTTGTGGAGTGATAAAGTTACGAGTTATCTAAGGCGTTAAGTGCTTAACGTCGTCTGAATAGCAGGCGAGCGCTAATGTTCGCCTATTGTGCTCCGAGCAGCCGCTTGGTCGTGTCAAGCTGCCGCCCCCCTCTTTGCCTGCTCTTCATCTCATCGTCTTCGAGTGTAAATCAAGACAAATTACCGTTTTCATACGAAAAGAGAGATGTTGAACCGATGCCAAAATCTTCGACTCAACCCCTTTGACTCGGGGTTAAATCTTTTGCCGCCTCCAACCGAAGGAAGATTGAGAATTGATAGACGGTTTGCGTTTGAACGGATTGCGATGTGCTGCGTTTAATGAATACGGTGCGAGCGCGATTTGTATCATCGGTGGTACAGGCGGTGGATGGAGGGGGCGGCAAAAAGGAGCGCGGCGCAGTCGATCGGAACTGATGTGTATGCGTGCCGGAGGAAACGGGCAGCAAGTGGCGGATAGGGGTGTGGCCGCCGCCTCTGACACTTCCACCGGCCGCTTCACTCACAGATACTGAAAATTTAAGCCTTTTACTGTAGGGAAATATAATTATTTATATTTTTACCGGATAGAGAAACTCCAATCTTCGCACCAGCAATTCGTTGGTTGTTGTCGTTTTTTAGTTTAAGAGATATGAATTTTCGAAAATCGTCGAAAAAGTATCAAGCACCCCCTTGGAAAATTTTTTTCTAAGAATGAAAATTTACCTCTTAGATTTCCGTTTAACTATTCTATCTAGAGTATAGTCGATTAAAGTGTTGCGATCGTATCTTAATTATCTCTTTTAGTTTACGAGATATTCGCGATTGAAAAATCGTCAAAAATTAAAAATGTCACTTTTAGCACTTTTAGTCGCGTTTTAGGCCTTTTACTTTAGAAATATAATTATTTTATATTTTTACCAGATAGAGAAACTTCCAATCTTCATATAATCAGCAATCGTTGGTTGTTGTCGCTTTTAATTTAAGAGATATGAATTTTTCAAAAATCGCCGTGAAAAAAGTATCAAGCAATCTCCCCTGGCAAATTTTTCTTAAGAATGAAAATTTTATCTCTTAGATTTCCGTTTTAACTATTCTATCTTATAGAGTATAGTTCGTAGATTAAAATGCTGCGAGCAGATCTTAATTATCTCTTTTAGTTTACGAGATATTCGCGATTGAAAAATCGTCAAAAATTGCAAAATGTCACTTTTAGCACCCTTTTAGTCGCGTTTTAGGCCTTTTACCGGTGAGCCATAATTATTTTATATTTTACCAGATTTCTGAGAAACTTCCCAATCTTCATAATCAGCAATCTGAGTTGGTGGTAGTTGTCGCTTTAATTCTCTACATATGAATTTTCAAAATCGTCGAAAAAAGTATCAAGCACCCCCCCTTGGCAATTTTTTCTTAAGAATAAAAATTTCATCCCTCGGATTTCCGATTTAAGTATCCTATCTCATAGAGAATAGTCCGCTGATTAAGATGCTGCGATCAGATCCTAATTATCGCTTTTAGTTTACGAGATATTCGCGATTCAATAAAATGGGCAAAAATTGAAAAGTAATTATTAAAGTATTTTACCTTTTCTTATTTTTTGTAGTCTTCGAGAATACTCCTTATTTGGCATACAAAACATCTTGAAAGTATCTGAAATATTGAAAAATAACTTAATAAAAAGTTGCTTCAGATAAATAAATTTGAAAAATTTAACAGATTCGTATATTATGTTACATACATGTGTCAATAATTGCAACACGATATCAAAAAATATCAAATATACGCAGATGTATGTAAAATAAAACACAAAAGAATTCCCACATCCACTCTCAAGAAAATTCTGTTGAAAGAAATAACATTTTGCGGCGCATTAAAAAAAAAACCACGATTTTTCTCAAGGTGTAAATTTAAACGTCAGTTGCGAGCGGCTCAAAGCGGAAACAATGATGCAAGAATACCGGATACACCTACACGAGCACCTCATGTTAATAATACACCATTTTTATCCCTCTCGGTACGTTTTTCATTTTTATGTAACGTGTTTTTTTCGTTTCCTATCAAGGTGAGCGCATGTGGCGCGCACCCTTCGAATATTATACATACATTATATCTTCGTAAAGATATCGAATTTCATATTTCATGCGCAACTTGCAATACTCTCTAACGATCAAAAAATAACCTACAATATGTTTTTCAAACAATTTAAAATAATCTTTCCATCCAAAGTTTAAAGAAGTTTATGATTAAATCACAATCGCAGAAATTAAATGTGTGTAAATTGAACGTATCTCGGCTTTAAAGTTGATAAACTAAACTCATGTAGGTGTGGGGCGGCGGTTGACGCCGGCCCCGACCGCGCGCTGAATTACAACTAATAGAGGTAAATTAAGTCCATTAACGAACGTGCTTGTTTCATAATTGTCAAACTATTAAACGTAATTAAAGAACCCGCACGCCGCATAAAATTAAACACGCCAACAGATATTGCCGCCGCCCGTAGCCGCCCGCACCGATGTGCACTTTGTTGCAACGCGAGAATTGGGCACTAAAACGCGATGACGAGACACAATTCCACCGCGAGTTTAATTTACCTCAAACGTATCAACAAGTTAACTAGTAATTGTGCGCTACTACGCATGCGCATTAAAACTTTCCTCACAAAATTCATAATGTAATTATTTACACTGACAAAATATTTTCAACTAATTACTCACACCTGGTTAAGTATAAAAAGTGCGTGACAGCGTTTAATTAGTCAAACAAATTCCAGATTTCCACTAAATTAAAATTATAAAAAGCCAGCGTCGCGTGACATTTTAATTCAAACAAAGCAAAAACCTCCGCGCCGCAGCTAGGAATATTTTTATTGTGTGATTTTCGGGCGTGGGCGCAACTTTCGTAATTAATTTTAATTTTCAGCCTCGCGAGTCATTAAAGTCATTAAAACGTTGACCGTCTTTGCTGGATGCTCGGCAGGACAACGCTGAAAATACACGATTTACAATCTTTTGTTTGTGTGCGAGCTTTGTGCCTCTTATTCTTTTCTCCACTGCACCACCTGGTTAATTAGCGTCTCTGCGTCTCCGTGCGCTGAGAATATTTTCAATTTCAACCACGCAGGTGAAGAAAAAAAAAACACGTGACCTACTTAGCGAGTACAATGATGTACACAAGTAAAAATGAGTGTCTGCCAAGTATTACACACCCTTAGTTGCACCCTTACAGCTTACATTTATAGATTAATCAAAAAATACCTTTTTAAAATCATTTTTATACTTGGAAAGTGCTCAAATTTAATGAAATGAGAAAAAAGTAAAATTTACGAAAAAAAATCATTTTTAAAAATTAATTACGGGTAATATTTAATACATAATATTTTTCTATTTATGGTACTTGATAGAGTATCTAAAAGACTATATTTTAAAATTTATTTGGTTGCAATATCTTGTTCCATTCCCACGCAATCCTTAAAAATGTAAAAATGTCAATACTTATCCCAAAATTTTCTTATGAAGTTTGTTTCCTTATAACTAGGCAACCACTCAACCAAAACCTACAAAAATCTACACACAGTTGCATAATTTAATCCCTCATGTCCCCACTACTAACCAACCCATTTCATAAAATAATTTAAATTTTATCATTAAAAATGTTTAAAATAATTTTTATCCTTGAGCGGAATCCAAATTGAATGAAAATGTTTGCGCTATTCATTCGCGATTCATTGCATTAATTAAATGATATATGAAAATATCGAACGTTTAGTGGGCCGTGTCGAGGTTGTAGTAATGGAACTCATTAAATACATTTCCAGTCGGCGCGTTTTGAATAAAATTATTCAATTATATTCAGTCGCACAAGTATAATCGCGGATTGCATCCTGCAACCTCGATGGTTGTATCACCCAAAGGCTTTGCGCTGCGTGCGATCCGATGAATTTGCAAATAAACCGATTAAATGGTAAATGTTTTGTTAATTAGTACTACACGAGCGGCATAATAAAGCGCCGGATTAATTCATTCACTCAACTAGCCCTAATTGCATCTTTCACTTGATTTACTGTTATAATTTTTTATATAATTATCAATAACTTGGAAACCATTAAATATAAATTGATAAAATTTTAGGAGTAGATTTTCAAATATAGTATAATTAGGTGTACAAAATTTGGTAGAACTATTTTGAAGGGTTGTTAAGTTATAAGGGTGCAAATTTGTACTAAATTTTAAAAAATATTAAAAGTAAATATATTACAGAAATATTAATAACTTAAGAAATAATTGATATTACAGCTTGAAATTAAGCATCAATAATCTTAATTAGTCTTTCCTTCACCCCAATAAATTTCCAACCCCTACCCTAAATACACCCCAAATTATACGTGCGTAAACTTGACCTACAAAATACTTTCCAATTACTTCTTTCTCTTGATTTTCTGTTACACATTTTTTATAAAATTAACAACAACTCAAAAAGTATTAAACAAAACTCCACAAAATTTTACACCAATAATCCAAATGAACCCTTCCTTAACCCATATAAATTTCCAACCCCTAACATTAATACACCCCGAGTTAAACGAGCGTAAACTTGACCTACTAAAGACTTTCCAATTTTCCTCTCGTCGTATTCTGAAAAACTCCGCAAATCTCAAAACAATATTCTTCTTCCCTCTATCCTTCACCCCGTGTTGATGAGGGTGAAAAATAGCAAATGTGCGTGATGAGCGCGTATGAAAATGACGTTCGCCGATGCGATGCGGTGGTGGCGGCATTGAGGTGAAGTCGAGCATATCAACAAGCGACACTGGCGCAGACTTGCGCGCCGCAAGGGGTGGCGGCCGCCCCTTTGTTTCCGTTTGGGGTAATGAACGCTCTAGACGCATACATAATAAATCACAACAACGCCAGCGCGCACGTCTTCGCGCGTTTCGACGCTTAAACGTTTCCTCTGCACAGCAATCGCGAGATTCGCAAGACTTGGACTTTAAACTCGCATTACGTGATTTTCGTTAGGGGTAGAAACGTCAAATTTTGCACAAGGGTAGATAAATATACTGAGTATATTACACACTTATTATTTTTTAAAATAAATATTGAATAAAGGGTTGAAATTTGAATTTTACGAAAAATGTTTATACTATAAAAACTTTTATCATTTTTAATAATTAATTACGATCAATATTGATTACTAAATATTATTTTCTTTTTGGCATTTCATGGAGAATCTAAAGGACTATAATTTAAAATTTATTTGATGACAATATCTATTATGATTACGCCACAATCCATAAAAATGTAAACTAACTCAAAATTTATACTAAAATTTTATGATAAAGTTTGTCACCTGATAACTAGGCAACCACTCACACAATAGCTATGAAATTTTGCACACGGTTGCATAATATTATCCTTCATACCCCCACCATAAATCAACCCATTTCATACAATAGTTTAGTTTTTATCACCGTATTTGCAGGACGTTGTAAATTTTACATCTAAAATGTTTAACTAAAAGCTACTTGTAACGATTCAATGAATTCTACCTCCGCGCCCGCCCCCACTGCCCTCATAACTCTTGATAACCCGCCTCTTTACTTTACGATCGTCATATATTCTGCCTCATTGTTCCACATGATTCCCGGACGCAGTAATATTCAATTTTCAATTTGACTCACACGTTTCCCATCGAATCACGGGTGGCCTAAGGGGGCGGCGGCGGCAGCGGCGATATATGTCTTCTTGCTATGCGCTCGCGCAAAATGAATAGATGTTCGCGATGTATGCACGCGCAGTGATGTGAAAAGATACCGGCTGCTAGTTTCGGAATTTGAGCGTGCGTCAGCTCTCCGAGGGGCGGCAACCGGGCGATCGTGGTTCTTTTAGTTCTTCGTTTTCCGTTCGGTTTGATCGATTCGTATAATTCTCGTTCGATGAACGGCGAACGTATAAAGTTATAAACGTGCACGAATCCTTTCTCGGGGCGGCGGCGGCGGCGGCGTGCGAGAATGTATGATGAATTCGCTTGATCCCTGGCTATATCTCGACGCCGCGCGTCCGCATTTCGATTCATATTTATTGATGATCTTTTTTTACTGCCGCCTCCCGAAGTTTTCATCATTTTTATTGACGTTTGTGCTCAACTGACAAATCCTAGCAATCAGAATAAATCAATTAAACAAAAACCCGACTATTTTTTTTATAACAACTAAAAATTAATTTTTAACTCATGTAAAGTGTTTTTTTAATTTTTTCTGAATCTCTGCTGAAAATAGCTTTGCCCCTCACGCCGCCCCCTGACACCAGACACGGGCCGCGACCGCACTCGACCCATTTCATTTCGGACGTAATAAAATCTGTATGTCATATACAGTGTGTCCACAAAATCACCTAATACACATACAACTATAATGCAACACCCTGTATAAATAAAACTATATAGAGTTTGACGTGGGTCTGAACGTGCAACTCGAGATGATGTGAGGCAAAAACAAAAACACAACGGAAATAATGCACTCACCCGGAGGCGGCAAAAACGAAGTTGCCTCCTCCGTCGGTGCCACCGCCGCCTGCGGGCCTCAAACGGCGAAAACTGAAAAATAAACATTTGCGCCCCCGAACAAATAAAACGCAATAAAAGTACGGATAAAA